TTTTTATTGTAGTTGTTGATGTTGTTTGGCAGGCCTGGGCTGGATTCAAACCTGCCAGCTCTGGTATATGTGTCTGGCGCGTTAGCCGCTTGAGCTACAGGCTCCGAGCCATGCAACTTGAATTTAATTAAATTTTTCTCTTATATAGGTGTGTATTAGTTTGTCTACTGGCTTCATATTAGTATTGAATACATTGAATACTTGCTTTTTCATTCTTGTGATAATTTACCAAGAAGGATGTTCTCCAACTCTATCTAGGTTACTACAAAAAATGTAAAGTCTCCCATCTTTTTTTCTTTTTTGAGACAGAGTCTCACTCTGTTGCCCTTGGTAGAGTGCCATGGCGTCATAGCTCAAAGCAACCTCAAACTCTTGGGCTTAAGCAATTCTCTTGCCTCAGCCTCCCAGGTAGCTGGGACTACAGGCACCTGCCACAATGCCCGGCTGTTTTTTTGTTTCAGTTGTCATTGTTGTTTAGCTGGCCTGGACTGGGCTCAAACCCGCCAGCCTCGGTGTATGTGGCAGGCACTATAATCACTATGCTACAGGTGCTGAGCCAAGTTTCCATCTTTTTATGGTTAAATAGTATTCCATGGTGTACATATACCACAGTCTATTAATCTATTCATGGATTGAAGGGCACTTGGTTTGTTTCCATATCTTGGCAATTATAAATTGAACTGTAATAAACAGTCTAGTGCAAATGTCCTTATGAGAAAATGATTTTTTTTTTTGTTCTGGGTTGATAGCTAGTAGTAGGATTGCAGGATCAAATGGAAGGTCTATTCTGAGTTCTTTGAAAATTCTCCATACTTCTTTCCAAAGAGGCTATTACTAGTTTGCAGTCCCACCAACAATATAAAAGTGTTCCCTTTTCTCTGCATCCACACCAGTATCTGCAGCTTTGGGACTTTGTGCTGTGAGCTGTTCTCACTGGGGTTAGGTGATTTCTTGGGGGGGGGTTGTTTTTATTTCTCTGATGATTAAGGACGATGGCATTTTTTCATGTGTTTGTAAGCCATTTGTCAATCTTCTTCGGAGAAGGTTCTGCTCATATCTCTTGCCCAGGGATAGATGGAATTGCTTGCTCTTTTTTTATTTTTAGTAGAGATGGGGGTTTCCCTCTTGCTTAGGCTGGTCTCAAACTCCTGAGCTCAAGCTGTCCTCCCACCTAGGTCTCCCAGAGTGCTAGGATTACAGGCGTGAACCACCATGCCCAGCCAGCTTAGGAAACTTTGAATTTGGGGTCTTTGGCCCTCTAGGGATCCCACGTGTGAGAATTTTGGTTTCACCAAATTCTTACCTGGGCCACCTTCCCCACCTGTGCTGGAGGCTGAAGGAGTGCTATCAGATCAGTAGGTGGGGTTAGTTAATGTATAATGTGTGGGCATCACCTCCCTGAGGCTTACTCCTCTAGTGTTAAGGTAGAAAATATTTCCTGCCTGCTGGCTCTACACACTAATTTGCCTTTCTGCATTAATTAGAAACCTCCTTAAGTATGGTTGTTAAGAATGATGCCCTGAACTTTTATCTAGCTTCTGTTTCCTGGGCTGTGGCTCAGCCATGGGAGGAGCCCCTCTCTGTGCTGTAGTCTTTTGCTGTGGGACTGCCAGCCTCTCCTACCTCTTGTTTTATTGGCACAGTGACCAGCAATTAGACTTTGGGATGTGCACATGATGATGGACAGCAGGGATCAAGAAGCTGAAATCCACCCCTTGAAAAATGAAGACAGAAAATCACAGGAAAACCTGGGAAACCAACTAAAAAATGAAGATAACTTGAAAAGTATGCCTCTGCAGTCCCGGTTGTCCCGATGCCGAGCAGTGGCTTTTTTCCTTTCATTGTTTATCTGCCTTTTTGTGGTGTTTGTCATCTCATTCATCATCCCATGCCCTGACCGACCTGCGTCACAGCGCATGTGGAGGGTCGATTATAGTGCAGCAGGTGAGTCCTAGGATACTTCTCTGCCTCTATGACTTTCCAGACCCTTCTCCTCCATGCAGGGAGCAGGATCGTGTTTATGAGCCTCAAAATGGCCTTTAGTAGTGGGTCAGACTTAAGTGGCTGCCAGATCTATGTCCAAAGTCTTTGTGGAGTTTTAGGAAGCTATAGGGCAGCCTCTATGTAAAAACATAAGCCCTGGCTGGATGTAGTGGCCCACACTTGTAATAGTAGCTCTCTAGGAGGCCACGTGGGGTGGATTGCTTGAGCTCAGGAGTTTGAGACGAGCCTGAGTAAGAGTGAGACTCAATCTTTACAAAAATAGCTAGGTTTTGTGGCAGGTGCCTATAGACCAGCTACTTAGGAGGCTGAGGCAAGAGGATTGCTTGAGCCCAAGAGTTTGAGGTTGCTGTTTGCTGTGATGCCACGGCACTCTACCAAGGATGACAA